GAATGTGGGTCCATCAAAGAAGCTGAGTTATTTGGGTAGAGAGGCTCTGTTGAACATCAGAGAAGGAAAAATGTGTTTGTGAGTAGAGAGAGTGTGGTGTGGATGGAAGGAATCAGGGAAGGGGTATCGGGAGAGGGGGGAATCGGCCTTGTGAGCAACAGGCTTCTTGTTGTGCTCAGGAGGGCAAGGCTTTGTACAGCCTTTCTAAATGAAATGAAGCAGATGTGGTCTCTAATGTGGGTTATTTTATGGTTTGGGGTTGGGTTGTTGGGTCTGCTCAGTGCAAGTGGTGTCAGGTGTTGGAGTATTTATTTACCTGCCACTGCAACAATCAGCTCATGGCACCCGTCAGGGGAAAACAGCAGCAGCTGAATGCTCTTGGTGTCAGAGCAAATAGGATGTGATCATTGTCCTATTAAACAGGAAGGGAGTTCTGAGTAGGTTTGGGTGTTTGTTCACTCCAGCAGAAATCTATGTGGGCATTTCAGTGCCATTTTGGTAGAAAAATCAGTAACTGAGTGGGTTTGAAGTGCTGGGCTTGTTCTCAGGCAGGACTTGCATCTGGGGTTATTTCATTGAGTGATCCAAATGAAATTTTCAGGGCAAGATGTAAAAGTTATGGTAGGAAATGAATAGAAATCTTGAAATTATCTAGAAATAGTGCAGTGTGTTCCTCTCTCCAGCCATCGCTATTGATAGGGCAGATTTGCCGATTATCTGTAACAAAGCAGCCTTTTGATTTTTTTTTACAGCAAGGCAGTGCTTTAATAGTTTAAAAGCCTTTTGTTGTGGTTACAAATTGAAAGTGTGATGCTCTTTACAACAGCATTAAATTTATTTATTTTTTTCTTCCTTCTGAATTGGATTCATCTGTGTTTGAAATTCTTCCAGTTCAGTGCTGGTGCAGGCCCAGTGCACACTGGAAATGGGCAGTGGAGGAGCTGGTTTATATCTCCCACTTCCCCAGGCTGGTCCCCTGCCCAGACCTGGGGCTTCACTCATGTTCCCACCACAGTCTTGTGGAACATCTCCCCCAATCCTTCAGCTTTGCTGTGTGGGACTGCACTGGGAAGGCTGAGAATCAGGGGAGGAGGGATAAGAGCGACAAAGAACGGTTCAAACTAAATTTTGACTTGATTGAATTCTGAGATAAAATTAATTTAAGGATTTACTGTGGTCCTGTGATGTTGGATCTCTAATTCCAGGATTGCAGTCACTGCATTGTTATTTTTGGTGGATTCCTTGTGTTCCAGGCTGTGTAGGGAAGCCAGATGCAGTGTGCCCTGAGAGTTACCCAGCCCTGGCTCTCTCCTTTTCTCCTGCCATTTTCTCCATCTCTCAGTCTTTCTTTTTCCATCTCCAGCCTGGACTATGTGAGAGCTACGCTAGGAGGAGATGCTGTTCTTCCTTGTTTATTTAGAGATGAAAACAAATATTCTGTCACTGAGTTCTGTCCAGTCTACCAGTGTTTTATGTCTCCCCTGAAACTCACTTTTCAGTGACAAGAGAATTTTGGCTTCCCTTGGGAGGAATCTGCTGCTCTTGGCAGTCAGGAGAAGCTCAAAAACACGACCCCAACCAACCCTAACATAAGGAAACAAAAATCAGCTCAAAATTAAAATGCTTCCAAAACCTTGTGTGCCTCTTGTTGAAGGGGACTGCAGCAGATCTGTGCAATCACCTGTCCTGTTGTGGTTTTATCTCCAGATTTTGAAGCAAAACGAGCCCTTTCCAGTTTTGCAAACTGAAGAGATTTGTTGTGATCTGATCCGCACTCTGTGTCCAGTCTGACGTGAAACGTTTTGCTTTGGGGAAGTTTCTTTCTTGGTCTGTTCTTCTTAAATGGTGCTGCTGTAAATTGGGAATGAAAGCAGGATTCAGAGGAGGTTTGGGCCTGGTTTGCAGAGGCAGGGAAAGGGAGAAGTGTCCCACCCTGTTCTCTCATTTCCCCGGGTGCTCCCCTGTAGGGTACAGCAGAGGTGGCAGGTGACCAGGGCACGGTTCCCTCTCTTCCTGATCAGTGCAGGGAATTAATGTGCATCTCTCTCTGCCTGACAGCTTTCACCACCCCCCTGGGCACTTTAATTCCCTCTCTAAATTGGAGCCTTTTCACCAGGAGATGCTGGGAGTGATCTGCTGGCAGTACCAGGTGCCCTGGGCATGGCCCTGCCCAGAGAACTGGGAAACCTGGGTGCATCTCCCACATCTCCTAAACCTTCCTTTCCTTCTTTTTCTGTGTCATTAACTGTATTTTTTCCTGATAAGCACAGCACAGCCAGATTCCCAACCACCAGACCTCTGAGGCTTGTAAGAATCACTCTTCCATAATACTCTTCCCCCAAAAATCAGGATGTAACAACAAAGGTGACAGAGCAGGGAGCACCTTGGATTTTCCAAAAGAATCCAAGTGTCAGCTATGCCAGAGGAAGACATCTGACAATGTTAATTATCACAGCTTTGTCAAAACTGGCCTTAATAATTACTGAGCTGTGCTCTTTGACCAGCTGTAGAAGCTTCTTTGCTTTTTCTGTGATTTTTTTTTTTTCCCTTTAATAGTTTTTTGTGTGGGCATAGATGGCCCAGAGCAGTTTATCCATTGTTTGCTGTGTAACAACCTTCTTTCATTCAATATATTCAATATCATCTGAATAGTTTAGTTCTGTTTCTTTATCTCCTCATTGACAAGCTGATGTTGAACTGCTGTTTTTGTGATATTTCAGTGAGCCTGCTGCAGCAAAGGAACCACTGCCTTAATTCTAAAGACAACGTTTAGTTAAAATAATTAACTAATTAGTCTTCAGAGATGTAGGTAAATTGATCTGTTGATGAGACATCAAGAAATTTCTTCTATAAAAAGAGATTTCTGCCTGTAAAGAGCAGTAGGTTGGGTGGGTGCTTGTATGGACATAGATAACTGCTCTGGTTTAGCACAGCCACCAGTCTTGGAAGACTGAAAAGAACCAGCTGGAAGTTCTGCCATGATGCAATTTAGGCTTTTTCTTCATTTCCTCTTGAGCCTGGTGCTCCTTGTGTGTTAATTGCAAAGTGAATAGTGATAGTGGTAGCTCTGTTGTGTGGGTCACAGAATCACAGAATGAACTGGGTTGGGAACATCAGGTCCAACCTGTGACCCAGCAGCTCCTCATCAGCTAAACCATGGCACTGAGTGCCACATCCAGACTTTTAAAAACATTTCCAGGGATGGTGACTGCACCACCTCCCTGGCCAGACAATTCCAGTGCCCAGTCACTCTTGCAGTGAAGATTTTTGTGCTGATGTTTTAACCTAAACTTCTCCTGGTGCAGCTTGAGGCTGTGTCCTCTCATTCTGTCAGTTGTCTGGGAGAAGAGACCGACTCTCCCTGGCTACATCTTCCTCTCAGGGAGTGGTGGAGAGTGATAAGGGCACCCCTGACCCTTCTTTTCTCCAGGCTAAACAACCCCAGCCCCTTGAGTTGTTCCTGGTAGGAAATTGTGTTCCAAGGCCCTCAGCAGACTTGTTGCCCTTCTGTGGACGTGCCCCAACCCCTCTGTGTCCTTCCTAAACCGAGGGGCTGGGGCTGGACACAGCTCTCGAGGCGCAGCCTCACCAGTGCTGGGTGCAGGGGAAGAATCCCTGCCCTGCTCCTGCTGCCCACGCTGCTCCTTGGAGCTCCAGTTCCAATTCACCTGCCTGCCTTGGTAGACTTCACTGCCATGTTCAATAAATGGGACTAAAATGGGCAAAGCTGATGGTTTTGTGCAGAGGGAACTGGGGGAGGATCAGTCTGGGAGCTGTTTGAACCCATCCTTGTGTCCTGATGGGACACTTGTGGCTGGGTTCTTTTCCCCCTTGGACTGAGATTGATGAGAGGGAAGCAGTTTTCTCTTGTTTGGACTTGGTTGTTTATTCTTCTCTTACCTATATTACACATACACAGAGTACAAGGAGCTACATGCACTAAGATAGAAAGGTGCAAAATGGCTAAAAAAGAACTTCTTCAAGGTCTTTTATATGTTCATTTACCCAATTAACAGATGCCAGGTAAATAATTAGTGACCCAACACCTGTGAGCTGCACTCCAGCATTCTCTATTCAATCACTTACTACTACCCAAAAACCCCTAGAAGAAGAAGATGGAGAGATGTGAAAAATGAGGTTCACATATTTCTCTTATAGAATTTAAAGGTTTAATGAAAAGACAATTAGGAGATAAAAATAAAGTATACAGATACGGCCGGGTGTCTCTGCATTCAGCCAAGAGAGCACACCTTACTAACAAAGGATTGTCCCTTAAAAACAGAATCCTACTACATATCTATAAATTCTCATACATATTCAGACATTCTTCTTAGCATCTTTGGTTTAGTTTTCTCTTGCCCCCTTCCCAATAGATCAATCTTCTTGGTGCCATCGAGATTTACATTCCCTGATACCAGAAATGCAATAAATTCCTCCCCCAGAGTTCTGGTCACTGCTGTCTTCACCTGGATAAGATAGTTTACAAAAGAAAAAAAGGGTCTCCAGCTATCTTTTTCAGTCTTTGGGTTACACAAACAAAAGTAGTTTTTGTTTTAATACTATACCATAGCTTAACATATATGTACTATACCACTATTTCTAAGTTTCATCAATAACAGAAATAAAGAAAACTATATTAATACAGCTAAATTTTCTAACCTTATACATATAACATTCACTATAATACTTGCGAAAAGCCAATAATATATGCATTTATAACAAGAGACAACACCTTAAATCCTCCATCTTGTCTTGTTTTCTAAACTAGCTTAAACCTATAACTTTTTCACCTAGTGACTTAAGAAAATTCTCTAACTTACATACTCACACTCTAAGTTTTTCTATTTAACAGTTGTTTTCATGGTGTTATATGAAATTCAGTGCTTCCTTGGATGTCAGTTAGGCATCAGAGAGATAAGGGCACACTCTCAGTGTGCATCCCTGTGCTGCAGCCACCTCCTGGCAGATGCCGTGGGGTGAGCACCGGCCTTGCCTTGCAGGTACAGCTCTGGGGAGGTGAGGCTGTGGGACACACGCACCTGGGACTACACAGCCCCCGTGCTGGCAGCAGTGGCAGCCCCTGCAGGGGCTGGAGCCCCGCCACACGTCTCCTTTGTGAGGATAAACAACTCCCTGGCCGTGGCAGCCTACGAGGACGGTGAGCAACCACAACTCTCCTCCCTATTAAAACAACAACAACAACAGGACAAAAAAAAAAAAAAAAAAAAAAAGGCTTTACAAAAATGAAGCAGCTGTGCTCAGCTTTTTGTGTGTCTGTAATCCTGTGTATCCACACACTTGCTTTTATGTGAGAAAGTTGGCCAATAACCCTAAATGCATTAGGAGGCATTGGAACATAGCACCCATTAAAACTGAGCTTTAATTCCTACTGGAGCTGCTGCACAAAGCTGGAGTGCCAGGCTGTAGTCCAGCCAAGCTATCTTAAGCAAATAACTTGTTTTGCTATAAAAATATTAAATATTCTTCCACCAGCCTTCTCCTCTGGCCAAAACTCCCTTGGGCTGCTGTGGAGCTTTGTTATGGGGATGGTGGTAAACTTGGATGTCTGATTAATCCCCGTCCCTCTCGCTCTTGGTGTGGTGTGTGGATGCACTGAAGTGTTGGTTTGCAGTGCTGGGTTGTTATTATATACTTGGATTTAAAGAAATGAAAGCTTTGACCTAATATTTAGTGAAACCCTCATAAAATCCTGGTTGTGTGCATTGTTTTAAATATCCTTAGAGGGTTTCTATAATGGACAGCGAGAGCCAGAGACCAGCATCTTCTGGATGTGGGAATAGCAATTAAAAAAGTCAGGTTTGGATCCCAGGCCGACTGGGATCCTAAACTGAGGGGCTCAAACAGAACTCAACTCCTATCATCTTTCTTTAAAATGTATAATTTGATACTTAAAATGTCTCCTTGGGTATAAATAAAGAATATTTGTAAGTTTAGAGAGTTTTATACACATACAGCCTTTGATCCTGGTGTTTCTACAGGTAAAAACAAAACAGAAGGTGGATAACCCAAACAAAATCCCTAATCCATACTTTTATTTTAAAAGTAAATTAAATGCTTTACGTGTTTGAAGATTCTCAACATCCTTAGCTGTTTTTCTAGCTTGAATTACGCCATTTTGGTATAATTTTACCATAAAATATAAATTTATGGTAAAATTATAATATAATTTAAAATATACAATTTTTACCCACAGGTTTTCTGTGGGTAAAGATTGTTAATAGGCAACATTTTCAACGTTTTCTGACAACAGCAAATCTGGTGTTATTAATATTATTTACTCGAGTCATAGGAGATTATAACACAGGTTTAAGTGCTGGCTTTTTTTTCCAGTGTGCCAAACAATGACTAGCAGAGGGTCTTTTGTTTGTTTTCTAGTTTCCCACTGACTAATCTAATAATTTGTCTGGGTTTTTTTGCCTGTCATATCCCTTGCTGTCAGTGCTGTGACTGAACTAGTTTGCATAAAGCTCGGCGTCTTTTATTCTTTCGAGTAGAAATTTTAATAGGCTCTGTGATATGGCAGTTACTCTGATTTGAGAAGCCTTGGTCAGAATAGATTAGTTTCTATGGGAATAGGGAAATAAAAAGACCCATTTTAGCAGTGTTTACTAACTGCAAGCCGAAAGCACATATTTACAGTTTGGTGGAGAGAGTTATTTTAAATTTTGGGGAGGGAGCGGACGGCTTTGAAGATAATGTGTTTGATTGTTCTTTGTTGTACTTTTCCAGCTCCCTTCCCTCTTTGTTTGTAAGTTTGACTAACCCAGAGAAACCATCTGCTCGTGTTGGAGGTGGTGCTGTCAGGCAGTCTAGACTTCCCTGGCGAATCCCTGGCTCGTCCCGATACCATCCCTGGCTCCCGGTCCCGCAGGGCTCCCGCAGCGCTGGCCTTGGCTCCCCATCCCAGGGAAGGGCTGACAGGCACAGCCTGCCCTGCTCTGCTCCTCAGCTCCCTTCCCGAGGCACAGGAGGCAGAGCAAGGACAGAGGTTTGTCCTCCTGGATGCCCCAAGTGGGTTGTCACTCCACGGTGGCCCCGAAGGGAAATGGGATTGTGGCTCCCGGTGAACGTTCCCGACGGCCTCGGAGAAACGGCTGCAGGGAGAGGGAGAGGAGGGAGAGAAATGGATGGGGAGCAAATGAAGTTCCCTGTGCCCGTGCCAGCGCTCAGTGGGGGCACTGGATGTACACCTGGGGCAACGGGACTTGGCAACTCGAGCCACAGTTGTGATTTTTGAATTCCAACCCACTGGCCTCATATTTCTTCTGCCTTGTTTCCTATTGTCAGCACTGGCAGTGCTCCAGTTTGATTTTACCACTAATTGTGTTGCACGTTACCGAACTGAAATGAATCAAATCAAAATGCTTTTCCTGGAGCATTAGATAAAGCAGGCGAGGGTTCTGGGTAATGAGCAGATGCTGCTAATGCAGGGACAGGAGAGGCCTTGCCAGGACTCCATCTGCTCCATGCTTGCCTGCCTTTGGCTGGGAGCCACAGCTTTTGGGAAACAGCAGTCTACTTCAGCCGTCCCTCTCCCCCCCTGTGCTCTGGAGTTGCATGGTTTGACTGGAAAACAATGTGCAGCAACAGGAGAACAGAACTTTTTCCTGCTGTGCATTAAATGCCACGGCCACCCTGGTGCAGGCACGGCGGGGAACGCGGCCCTGCTGCCCTGCTTGTACCCCCTGAGACCCCCTGTGAGGAGCTGGAGACCCTTCCCAAGCTGCAGAGCCACTCCATGCAGCACAGGAGGGTACTTGCTGCAGGGATCAGAGGTGCTCCTGCCTGCTGGAGGCTCCAGGAGGGGAATTCTGGCAGTGCTGCTTTTTGGAATTCTGTGCTCTTATCGTTTCTGATACCCCTAAAGCTGCCTGGGGGTGTTGTCCCCTTCTGTACCCTCTTTGCAGAGTGATGGGTTTCCCTGGGTGCCAGGATGTGCTCCAGGAGAGCAGGAACATTCCAGGTGGGCTGGAGTGGAGGAAAAAATGTTGGAAGAAAACTGCAGGAGCAGGGCTGGGATGTTTATTGCCATTGGTGGCTGTGGGTGCAGATCTCTTGGTTTGGGTGAGTGGAGTGTGATTTCCCATCCCAGTCATCCCATTCCCCACACTGGGAATGAAACAGGGTCTGTGCCCTCTCTGAGGGACTGTCCAGGGATGGTGGTGTGTGGAAATCCCTGGAAGAAGGGTGGTGGAGGTAAAATCTGGGAACATTTGGTGGGAACTGCTGTGGAAATGGTAGTGTGAGAGCAAGGCTCTTGTCACTGAGATCAGATCTCTCACTCTTTGTACCCTCAGGACCTGCTGGAAGTGAAAATTAAATGTAAAATGTTGGTTAATGAACTTAAAGCATCTACTAAGGTTAAATTGGCTCCTCCAATTAGAAGTGTTTTAGGGAAAATCTCAAAATTCACAGCAACAAGGTTTGATACTCCAGACTGGTGCTTGCTTCCACCCATGTTTTTGTTATACTGCTTGTGTATATAGCTGTGATTTATAACTTTGGAGTTAAAAAAAAACCAAACACCTGTGAGGAGCCACAGAATTACAGAATAACCTGAGCTGGAAGGGACCCACAAAGATCATCAAGTCCAAGGGTTTTCAAAAGGTGAAAAGAGTTTTGTTTAAATCAAGGTGGCAAGACCACAGCTCTGAAACAGGACAAACATGATGGAGATGATGTGAATTCAGCACCTTCTGGCCTTCCCTGCTGTGTTTAGAAGCTGAAGTGAATGAGCATGTAAACCATGAGCACATTTGGATTCCCTGCTCCAGCACTGACAAAATTCTGGGGTTTTAAATTTATTTTTTTTTTCAGATAATACAGATGTAAATTGCTTTAGATCTCTTCTCAAGCTGGCAGCAGCCACCAGCTGACAGGAAATGCTGGTTTTATCGTGGAAGAGCTGATGCAATGGGTCTTTAGGATCCGAGCTGGGATCTTCCACAGCCACATCCAGCCCTCCCATCCCAACCTTCCCGAGCAGGCAGCTCAGGTGGGCAGTGCCCTGTGCTGTGCCCAGCTCAGGAGGGGCTCAGACAGGCTGTGTGCCACTGCCAGACACAGCCAGGATAATATTTACAAATGGGATTTAACACTGTTTGCTCTGTTTGCGCTGCCTTGCCCTGTCGGAGGATTAGGGGATTTTAAAGGGAAAGAGATACTTGGGTTTGTTTAATTTTGTAGCAAATGCATTGCCTGTAATAGCAGAGAAAAACCTGTGTGGAAACAGATGTAACAGCTGCTTTTGCAGGATGTCTTTTGTGCTGCCAGCGCTGCTGATGGAGACAGGAGCCTCCAGCCTCCCACCTTTGACACAGCAAGAGCTGGTGATGCTCCCAAAATCTGGAGTTCAGTCAGGATCAGCACTGAGACACAGCAGCTTTATCCAAGTATTTCCAGCCTGGAGTGAATGACAATAAATGCACCTTTCATCAGGCCACAGCTCAGAAATTCGTGGGTTGGAAGTTGAATTTTTTGTCAAATCTGGGGCAGAGGGATAAACGAGGCCTGTGCAGTGATTGTCATGTTGAATGTCACACCATGAATTACACCAGCAGCTTCTTGCACTTCTTTTCTTGAGCCACGATGGCTTTCCAGCTTGCTCTAATTCTAAATAATTTTGGGGAGTTATTGTTAGAGTTCAGTTGCAATAATCACAATCGTGGCGCAGATTTTAGCGTTCCCTGACAACGCCGCTTAGAATTTTGATTTAATGACCTTCTAACACTTAGAAGATTTCAGTATTAAAAAAAACCCAGAAAAGATAACGTATGGCTGCAACCTTAACTTCACCTCAGCAGAGGAATTGCTGTGGGAATGAGGTGCTGGGCAGTGCTGGAGGCAGGAAGACAGACTGTGGAGAGCGGTGATCTCATCCGCACTGCTAAATCTTAGCCTGGTTTATTTTAATGCCACACTAATAACCTGGACTGGAATGGTGTGGGATTTTTTGCTCTTACCCAAACATGATTGACTGCTTTAAGGACCTGCACACCCATAAATACCTTTTGTTGTTTCTGCAGTGAAATGCAGAATATTCTGAGCAGCGCTTTTAACCCTCATAGCAGCTTTACCTATTTATAAATCCAGTGGAGTGCTTGCTTTTTCTGTTTTCCTTCTGTCCTGATCCTTGTGGGTCCCTTCCAACTCAGGATATTCTTTGAACTCTCCTTGTTACTCTTTACTTTGTGCTCCTTCATCACATGTGAATTTGTGACCTTGCAAGTCACTTTATTTTTTAGATTATCAGGAATATATTGCCCATATCGTGTGTCACATGTTGCACACTCTGTGTTTGCCTGGTTAAAATACTTAATAATAATAATAATAATAATAATAATAATAATAAGTTACTTGTTGGCCAAAATTAGAGAGCAGAACCCTGTGCTCTGGGTTTCCCAGTTTGCTCCTCCTGTGGTCAGAATATTTTTGTTTTATTTTCCAGGACTTTCATCCATTTAGACACTGTTAAACCCAGTGGAATGTTCATCACAGAGATGTGTAAACAAAAGGCTTCACTGAAATCAAATCACCCTCCCTTTTCCCCTTCATGAACCTGGTCTTTAATTGGGATAAATTTTCTGCTGAATAAAAATTGAAAATCCTCCTGCTTGGAGGAGCCTGGCAGCCAAACCCGTGGTCTGACACAGACCAGCTCTAACTCCTTTTATCTGATATCACTTTATCACTGATGAGTTTTTTTTTGGACTGGCTCAAACATCTCTCCTGGAGATGAGAGTTCCCCATCCTTTTCTTTGGGGAGGAGGTGGCTGAGCTCAGCCCTGGCGTGCAGGGGATGCAGCCTGTGCTGCCCACTTGGGTTTGTTAACTGCTTTTAAGCTGTGTGTAACCAGTCTGTTTTGCAAACCCAGTTCAGCAGTTATTTACCTTTCAAGCAATTAACATAATTACCATTATGCTAAGAAGTAATTTTGGGAAGTTCTGCTCTGAGCCCTTACGACTCCGTCGGGACAGTTTTAGTCGGGACTTATCTTTTTGATGGAAGCCTAATTGCAGTTTTGGCTTTGTGTAAACAAACAGAGGCGGCTAATTGTTTAGGCAAATAGCAGATTAATTTAAATATTCATCCCTAATAAAACAAAAATGGTCCCCATTATGGTACTCATTCCCATGGTGAGGAATATAAATATTCAGTGGGAGTGCCATTAGACAGGGATCTTAAGGATTATCTGCATTATTTCACATCGGTAGCACTTTCCAGATACCAAATAATCTTTACAAAAGCTACCATAAATCAATTTAAACTCATTTAGCTACCATTTCACTATGTGCAGTTTCATTACCACACTCTTGCTTCACCTCCTCTGGGACTGGGGAGGAGTGTTTGCAAACTGGCAGTGGTGCCCATCCACAGCTGTCTGTCAGGGCTTTTATGTCTCCTTCTGAAGGAAGAGCTGCCATTAATCATTTCATCATTAACGTGCTCCACTGGAAGGGAGGCTTCTCCAGCCCTGCCTGTCACGTTGGAAGATTGCTTCTCCTTAATTCAGTGCAAAGGTGGCCCAGAAGGCTCCAATTCCCTTCTGTTCCCTCCTGATTGCCTCAGGTTGCTCTTACTCAGATTATGATGCTTTTAAATAGAGAACTGGGGAGCCAGGCTGGCAAAAATGCAATTACAAATATGTTTTCTTTTGGCTTACACTCCTTTATTCCTTAGGATTTGTGTTCTTTAGCTTTTCTCTGTGGTGACCAGGGACAAGACCCAGGGAATGAAGATGTCTTAGGAGGCTTAGGTGCAGATCAGGGCAAGGTTCTTCCCCCAGAGGTGCTGGCACTGCCCAGGCTCCCCAGGGAATGGGCACGGCCCCGAGGCTGCCAGAGCTCCAGGAGCGTTTGGACAGCGCTGCCAGGGATGCCCAGGGTGGTATGTTGGGGGGTCTGGGCAGGGACAGGAATGGGGCTGGATGATCCCTGTGGGTCCCTTCCAGCTCAGGATATTCTGTGATTCTGTGAATCATGCAGCAAAGTGACTTAAAATTGGAATGTGGCTTCTTCCTCGCTGGTTTTGTGGTAATTGAGAGCCTCTCTATAACACAACAGAATTTCAGGTGTCTGTTTATATCTGATCTCCAAACATGGAAATGTGAGAAAAGTCAAAGGGTCTTCTTCAAGGTAGTTACTAATTGGAAAGTCATAAATTAGGAATTAGGTACAGAGCAATAAGGCTGGAATCACAGAATCACAGATGGGTTTAGGTTGGAAGGGACCTTAAAGCTCATCCTGTCCCAGCCCTGCCATGGCAGGGACATGTCCCACTATCCCAGGCTGCTCCAGCCTGGCCTTGGACCCTTCCAGGGATCCAGGGGCAGCTACAGCTGCTCTGGGCACCCTGTGCCTGCCCACCCTCCTAGGGAGGAATCCCTTCCTATATCCCATCTATACGTCCCCTCCTCCAGCTTCAGGCCAGAGCACATAAATTCTCCTGTGAGCCTGTGCCGTGGTCAGAGGAGCCATCCTGCAGCTCAGGTGTCCTGCCCTCATCTCTTCCCTGTATATTCCTTTGTCCCAGAGGATTGCTTTGCAGCTGTTGGAGCTCTCTGGAAGCCGTGTGAGACGCTGAGCTAACCCCAGTGCCATTTTCCATGTGCAGGCAGTGTGAGTGTGTGGAGCCTGCTGCTGGGGCAGGAGCCCATCCATCACTTCCAGCACAACCAGCGCATCCAGGCCTTGGCGCTGGCCCCGGCCGGCCCCGCGCTGGCCACCGCCTCCGGCTTCCAGGTCAGGGTGGAGAGCCCCGACGACAAAGGATTCTGGCAGACCCCAGCAACCTTTGAAATCCAGAAATTGGTGAGTCTCCAGCCTGCTCTGCTTCGTTCCAGGAGCTCCTGATCCACTAGTTATTTGTGGTAGGGTTAAGATGGTTCTTATGAAAGTCTTACAGCCTGAGCTAGATCAGGGCGCTACCAGCTCCAGGCTCTGACTTTGGAGCTGGTTAAGGGATGAGTCTTCCATCCCTGAAGAGCAAGGGTGAACTGCTGGCTTAAACTAGGAGTGAAAATGAACACAAGTCCATATGGTGCAGGAGCTTGGCTGGCTTTAATTTTTTTTTTTTTTTTTTTTTTTTATTTTTTTTTTTTTTTTTTTTTTTTTTTGTCAACAGTAAACTAAGTTGGCTCATTTTGTAAATCAGTTTTCTCGCGTAGAATTGGAGCTGAAACTCCAGGTCTCATTCCAGATCCACACTATCTGATTAATTCTGAGGCAGGATATTGCAGGCAGCCTAATAGTGTCACTTGTGAAGCTGTAACTACTCGTGCAGCTTCTTTAGGTTGCACCTTCTGTCACTGAAGTTTTGAGAGTTGTAATTAAAAGTCATTCTCTGAAGTTTTATTTTGTCTCAGAGTATCAGCATTTGTTTGATAGGGGAAGGAAGTGTGTAGGAATAATTGAGTCTTGCAGCCTCTCTCCTGTAGGAGGAAGCTGTGCACTCAAAGGGTGTGAAGTGATTTAAACCACTCCTGATTAATCCCCCCTCCAAAGCTAAATCAGTCTTGCAGTTCAGAAATAAGCTTGATACTTCATCTTTGTGTGGAATTAGTCCATAACTGGGATGATTCAGGACACACATGAGTAGTTTGTTCAGTTCAGCACGTGGCACTAGTGATGCAAAAGAACTTTTGACTGTATTAGAATAAATTAAAATAAAAAAATAAAACAAAAAGTCTGCTCTTTTTAGGTCAACTTCCTTAATCTGGTTCCAGATGTCACGGGGAGCCCAGTGGCAGTGGCAGCTGCAGAGGACATTGTCTATCTCCTGAAAGCAGAAGATCCTGGCAAAATTCTCCACTCTGTCTATGGTCAGCCCGTCACCTGCCTCGATGTGGCTGCTCACGAAGCAGCTTTTGGCATCAAAAGCTTTGGCTGGTTATTGAATGAGCCCAACCAGGTATTGTAATTATTTTCTGAGGAGGTTTTCATACCTTTGTAATTAAGGGAAAAAAAAAAAAAGAGTTTGTGCTGAGGACTTCTTTCCCTGCTCTCCAGTTTTGGCAGCAGGGAGAAGACAATTCAATGCAATAATCTGGTGTTTCTTTGTGTTCTTCTGTGGGCTGAAGGGAGGGATTATTGTTCAGCCAACTGAGTTCACTTTGCAACCTCTGCTCCTCAGTTTATGCTGCATCAATGGCAGCAGGGGGAACTCATCTCAAAAAACCCACCTAAAAACCCCAGTAAACAGCCCCAAATCCCAAACCATCCCTCAGCCTTTCTGGTGAGGCATCCTGAGCAGTGTCAGGCAAATGAACACCCTTAGGAGGGGGGTGCTTTTTGTGCTGGGCTCTTGAGAACTTGGCCAAACTGTAAAGAGATTCTGGTGTTTCCAGATGCCTTGGGAAGAATTCCTGTCCTTTTCCTGTATCTTGCCTCCCTTTTCCACTCCCTGATTTCATTCCATTTTTACACTTGAGGCTGTCAGCAGTGAGGGAAGGAGGGTGCTTCAGGCAGCCAGAGAAGGGAAAAGGAGTGGAGCACCCAGGAGCTTTGGTCTGTAGTGTAAAAATGCAGGATTTTCCTTGGCAAGTGACTGGTATGGGAAAGCTTTGTGTGGAACTTGCTCTGTAAGGAATAAACGTGTCCAGCTGCATCTCATTCCCCTTAAAATCCCCGTTCACCATAAATACCTCGAGGGCTGAGATGCTGCGAGCTGTGCTGTCTTTATGAATTCCTTTGCTGTCCTAATCCAGCTCCTTTCCCTCCAGAGGTGGCAGGTCAGGGGGTAAAATTGCCTCATTTGGGGGCAGTACCCCAGTGATCACTTTCGTGCCTCGTGAAGAACAGAGAAACCTCCCCAGGCCCCAAATGCCTCTCAGCAAAGCCGGACATCTTTCCTAATTTAGTCCTGAGCTCCCTGGCAGATTGTGTTAAGCCTGGTGCATCCTAATCAGGGAGATGGGCCCAGACAGCCGGGGGGTGTGACAAGGACACTGCCTTGGCACTGCTGCTCCAGCTGACATCACGCCGGAAATTAATTACTAATGTCTATTATGATAATTACCGGCCTCGCGCAGACGTGAAGGGACTTTGCAGCGGCTGATTACGCTGGGCACACGGTGACAATCTGTCTTTGGGAGAGCTCTCCAGCCTGGAAATGGAATCCTGGAGGATTCCAGCCCCCTTGGCTGCTGCCTGTGTTTCTCCCCAGTTTGGGGTTTTCTTTGTTTTCCTCTGGGTTATTATTTTCCTTCTCGCAATCCCTGCCTAGTAACCTGCTTCCTGATGAAAACACTTAGAGAAACCATCTTTTTCCTCTCTCTCTCTCTTTCCTTTTTTTTAAAATCATATTCTAATTTTAGCCACGTTTGACAGCAGAGCTGAGATCTGAGGCATAAATTTTGTGGGAACTTTTATGTTGGAGAGGAGGAAAACATCAAATCCGTGGCCTAGACTTGGCTCCTGTCAGATGAGAGACACCCGTGCAGGAGGGAGGGGAGAACAGAAATGCTTCATCCCTGAGAAGTTCAGCTTGTACTTCAGTAGCACCAGACAACCCAAATATGAAGCTGTATCTTGAAAGTTCTTCTGCTTTAGTGCTCCTGGAACTCTTTTTTGAAGTAAAGCTAGGAAAGATTTTGTTGTTTCAGCTCTGCTAACTCGACGTGAAATCCCATAAAGTCCAAATTCTGAGATCTGTGTTCACATCTAGGCTTGTCTGGGGCTAATTAAATAGCCCAGATAATGACCCAGGGGGGAAATCCTCATTCCCAGGGCATGCAGAGGACATTCCCTGAGGGATGATGTCAGGCCAGTGACACATCCCCCGTGTCAGGGAGCCCCGTGATCACAGAGCTGCTGCAGCACCACCAAGGCTGGGCATTCACCTGTGGGAATTTTGGGTTTGAACACCATGGGGGACATTAAATCCACAGATTGCATTTGGTCCTCTTCATGTCAGGATCTAAACCTCGTAAGAAGGCAGCAGGATAAACGTTAGGCTTGACTTCATCTGGTTTCTGATGCAATCTGGATCTGGCTGGAGCTTTTCTCATAGCTGGTGCCTTTAAAACCTTCCCTGAATCTGCTGTCAGGTAAGTCTGGTCTCCTGCTGTAGCTCAGGTGAGCTTTGCAGATTATTTCTATGAAATTTACAAGTGTTTATTCTCCTGAGATGAGGGGGAAAATCCTAAAACACAGCTTTCTCCTGCATTTCAAAATCTGTTCAAAGTTTTTAACATATTCAGCAGTTCTTGGGGATATGAAATAATGAACAAAAGAGGATTTGGGGGTTTTTTCTACCAAAGAAGCTTCATACAGCATGCATGAGAGAATCTTTATTACAGATCTTGTCAGGCACCGTTCAGCTGTGGGTTTGGTTGCTTTGTGCACAAACGTGAACCCGATTCCAGGAGTGGTGGATGGGGAAGAGAGGAGGGAAGGGATGATTTTTCAGCTTCCAGCTCAGAGGCAGAAGGCTGGATGTGCTGAGATCAGCTCTCTAGGGTGCTGCTCGTTAATGCTGTTGCTTTTGCAGCTCTTTGGAGCTGCTGATTGGCTTGTACTTGAGAAAAGGTGTTCAACCTTACCTGGCTCCTCTCAGCAGCCATGGAAACACTGCCTGGGTTTGCTCCTGGATTTCGTGTTTCCATGGAATTCTTCAGCTACTTGGAAATGTGAGTGCATCCAGTGGAATTAATCACTGTTGTGAACTGATAGTGAGTGAAAATAAATTTTAAATCACAGAATCCCAGAGTGGTTTGTGTTGGAAGGGACCTTAAAACCCATCCAGTGCCACCCCTGCCATGGGCAGGGGCTCCTTCCACCATCCCAGGCTGTTCCAAACCCCATCCAGCCTGGCCTTGGACACTCCCAGGGATCCAGGGGCAGCCCCAGCTGCTCTGGACAACAGTAAATAATCCTTTAAATTGAGTTGCATACTTTACTGTCATTTTTGGAAGATATATTTAGGTCTTGGCTGCTTTATGTGAGCTTTTACACCTTATTTTAACTGAAATCCTTCTCACTGAGAAGCTGCATTGTATTTTCTGGGGTCAAATGTCTCCAGTTCTCACGGAGCTCTAAAGACTTACATTTTTTTAACCTTAGTTTTTCTTGCTTAAAAGGTGTGAGGTTTTCCACTTCTCTTGGCCTCCATGACCCTTGTAAAGAGCCCAATTTTCAACAAATTTATCTTTATGAACTCTTGTTTTCATAGCAGTTGAAGGGCAGGGCTTGCTGGTGAGCGAGCAGAGGGGACTTGTCCAAATGTCTCTCTTTGAGGAGCTGCAGGACTGCAAGGGTGTTAACAGATCTTTGGAGGTGTTGAAAGGTGTTTGAAGTACTTTTTTCTTTATAAACTCTTCGGTGCCACATCAGAGAGGCAGAGCTCTCTGAGGAACTGAAATGTGTTGGCCACTACAAGAAAAAGAGACCAGCAGAGAGTCCAGAACTTTCCCTTGTCTAAATATTACATGATTTATTGCTCAAACACTCTAAATGACCAGGAATAGTTTTGCAAGTTTAAATAAATAAAAGACTAAATAATCAATCAACCAATCAATCAATCAATCAATCAATCCCTTTCTATTGGCTGACATTAAGGACATTCTGCTTTTTCCCCCTGTTTGTGCTGTAGTGTGTGTGCCTCAAAATTGGCACGGTGGCTTATGTGGGTGCCTCATGTTTGGAAAATACCCCATGAATATTACAGGTGATGAAACCAAGGGATTTAATTCATATTTTAAGGTTCACCTTGCCTCCTTTTCAATGGGAGAAGGTTTCCCTCAGGGTAGGGAAAACCTGGGCTAGAGGGGTTTGTTGAGTGTGCGGGTGGTTCCATGGGTAAACACAGCATCCTCCCCACGGGCCCTGCAGCTCTCAGGCTTCAGCCACGAGTCAAATGAGCCTGGTGACCCCATGGCAGGTCCTAGCAGACATCTGCCCACATCCCAGCCCATCCCAGGCTGGCAGAGCCCCGGGGGCTGGCAGTGCCCAGGGCTGCAGGTGCGTTGGCAGCGCCAGCACAGCGCTTGGCTCCCCTTCTTGCCACCAGCCTGAAGCCACTCTGCAACTCCAGGCACAGAGAAACTTCAAAGGGAAAAGCAAACTCCACTTGTTTCTAGCTCTGTGTGTGCAGCAGGTGTTGGATGGGGAGGAGCAGGGAGCTGCTTTTCCTGCTGGATTTGCTGGGGGCTCCGCTGGTTTCGGGTTTTCAGGCGTCGCCCGGCGCATGCGTCTGCCAGGAAAAGTCACCTTTAGGATGGCATGAAAGTCAATTTTCCACATGCTCAGAGGAGCACTTGTGTTCCCAGCTCCCCACAATGACTTCTATCTGGCAAGAACTTGAAAAATAGTCTCTCTGGCTGATTGTCAAAAATTACATCATATTGGAGTAAACTGCTTTTAAATCAAACATCCATTATTCATGGATATTAACTGCTTTTTTATTTATTTATTTATTTTAACTGGCTGTTTTGTGTTTGATTTACTCTTTTTCTTCCTCTCTGATTGTCTGTCTGTCTCCCTCAGCTGCTCCTTTTAAATCTTAGCTCATCTTGAAATTTATGGAGCCAGAACACTTTATCTGTGTGCATAAGTATCAGCGTGCTGACCTTGCATTTGTTAACAGTCAAATTGTTTTTGTTGTTGTTGCAGTGTTGTGTGCCATATTTACAGTAGGCAATCCAATACATTTGCACTGGGAAACTGTGCCCCTGGGGCTTGTAAACTTTAAAAATATTCTTGTTTGCCACATCACTTTAGTACTAAAATCCAAACTTGTGGCAGTGTGTGCCATATGTTGTCTTTAATTTGATGAGTTCCCCCACAAATGCATTTTCCTGCTTTTGTAGGTACCCTCTGGATTGGATGGGTTTGACCTGAGCTGAAACCAGATCCCTTTTTATTTATGGTGGACTTGGAATTTCACAACCCCTTTTTCATTGGCAATATTTGTGTGTATTCAGGCAAGGTTTTTTTCCAATTGGCAGAGAGCTGGACAGAAGCAAAGGGGAGAAACATAATCTGAAAATAAATGTAAATTCAGTTCTCAGGCTTGCTGCTTGATCCCTGGCACTCTGAGCAATTCAGGGTGGTTTTATTTTACTTAAAAAGACAGAAACCTCAATCCTGGACGGTTCTTTCTGAAAAAGCAGTTCTGTAATGGATCCTGTGTGTTGTTCAGTGAGGAGAAGGATGTAGAGTTTGAGTGTGGTTTTACAATGTGATTTTTGCTGATATTTCTCATCCTCCCTCCAATACTGCATCTCCATCAAACCCCACACACAGAGGGGTTCACCCAGTTCTGAGGCTCTGTCTGCACCTGCCCCAGGCTGCTCCTGGGGACAGGAGGCAGGAATGGGCTGGGAAGGGAAGAGGGAGAGCAGCTCTTCCCCAGAGCAGGCGTGTGCTGGCTGCCACCCAGGACAGTGGGATGGACACCCCAGCTCTTGATGAAAGTACCACAGGCTCTTTGATAACAAGTGCTCAGGGATTTGTTGTTTTAATGTTCCATCCAAAAAAGACATCTCCAACAACACAGCATCCCAAAACACCTGCTGGGGTTTTGGCCACGCATGGAAGAGTTCCATCAGCAGCATTTCCTTCAGTTCCTTGGTTTTTCTTGGAAGTGTCTCAAGCAGAGTGCATCGACCACGCTTGACCTCACTTAGCTGCGAGATGTAACAAAGCTCACAGCTCAGCTCTTCTGGCTCCACAGCCTTTAATTCTTTGGGAATTAATTTCAGGCATCTTTCACGAGTTCTTGGACAGCATTTAAAGAGAGTTCCCTGTCCCCACCGCTCTGCAGTTCCATGCAGAGCAGTAACTTTGCCTTTTTTCCCGTGCCTGCGCTCATGAATTTGCAGGTTTGCGGCGCATCCCTCCCGGAGGAGCAGCCACAGCCTGAGCCGTGCCCAAGTCGCCCAGTAAAGAGGGGAATTAGTCTAATGCACTGCCTTAACAAAGGGGAGACTATGAGCTTGAATAATTAATACCCCCAGTCTGTGGCAGTGGGCTGAAATGAAGTCCCATTTGCTCAGCCTTATTAAAAGAGAGAGAGAGAGAGGGAGGGATGGTAAAGGTCGTTAAGGGACTTGTAACAGGGAAAGGATCGCCTCGGAGATGGATAATGTGTTTGCTAATCTCTGTGGTCTTTAACTAAACAGAATGCTGGAGGTGCTCTGCCTATTCCTGGCTTGTTGAATTATTAAGCATTCAGGGAGATTGCCTGGCTCTTGGCCAACAACTTGGACTTTTCATTTGGCCAATGTTAATAGGTGACACTTTTTATTTGGGGCGTTGGATCCCGGTGCTGGCTGCACGGGGTCTTTAATGCTTTTCCTCCCTGGGGTCCCAGTGGGGCCAGGGCTGCTCGTTAGTGTTATCCCAGGGTTCTTCATTTCACACCCAAATGCTCTTGGTTCACTTCCCTCAGTTCGGTACCTATTAGGTCACTGGGCTTGGGTGTCCATTATAGGATTATAAATACCTTTAAAAGGGTAATCCCTTTGCAGTGTGCATTATAGGATTATAAACCTCCCAGAGATCTTATGCTTTATCTGCCCTTTAACACACAGGCCCTTATTTCAAGTCCCTATTGACCAGGTATTTCCATTCTCTCTCCTTGGCCTTTGTAAGGAAAATCCTTCTTGCCTTGGGATATTACAGCAGAGCTCATCAGAGGTGTTCCAGCAACTTCAGAATTGTCATCAGTGTGCTTTTAAATCCCTGTCTCCAGGAAATTATTATTCAGACTTAAGCATTCTGAGTGCTTTTAGCTTCTTTTACTTATCAATTGGTCAGGATAAGGGTTTGAAATTCATTTGCAGGTCATAAAACTGCTCAAGACGGGTTGAATTTCGAGATAGGCAAAACCTGGATACTGCAAATCACAAAGAGACTATTCCAGTGATGGGGCTAATTGGTTAGAAAGACATTCGTGCATGATAAAATTTAAAATAAATTTTATTTTAACCACCAGTCTTGTTATTGATGGTTAAACTAAACAGTCTTTAAAAGAATAGAGACAGGCATGAGGAGAAGAGGACTTGAAGGGGGTAGGAGAAGATGATAAAAAGCTTTGCTTCCATTTTTGTGGGTATGAGCCTTTATTTTTTTTGCAGATTCTGGGATCCAAACACTTTAAATTGGTGGCCACCTACAAGTTATGGGAGAAGAAATAAGTCATTTTTCCAGCTGCAGTTACCTGTGAGCTTTGCCACAGGGCTGCAGGCAGGAGGAAATGTTAAGATGGAAAATGTTACGTGGGAATATTTCGGTGCTGCGTGGAAGTAATTTTTCATTCCAGCCTTTCATGACCATGCTGGATGTTCAAATATGCATCCCATGTTTATAGCAGAGATGGGAGCTCTGGTCATTTAGATAAATTAATAGTTTATGGATGTTCACTGCAAATAACAGCCCCAGGGGACTTTTAAGAAAGAAGCTTTTGGCCCTCTCCCCTCTGGAGTTTTAACATCCAGCTGGGAAAGGCTCAACTGGGAGCTGGAATACATCGCTCCTGACCCCGTCAGTCCTTGTTCTTAAGCTGAATTCAGCAGTTTATTGACTTTGTCTTTTGTTCCAAACTTTCCAAGGAGAAGTTTGGGTTGCCAGGCACAGATATTAATTTCCTTTGCACTGAAAACCCTTGGAGGTGCCTTTGCCAGAACATCATTATCTATGGGTTTGGTTACTGAGCTGTTGGGAGCTGGGCTGAAGTGAGAACAGGCTGTAAACTGGTTTTTACCTCAAACATTTCCATGCAGTTTGTAGCAGCTTTTTCCTTGGGGTGGAAGTTCAAATTAATTTTTATTTAAATTTAACCTTTATGCCCTAAGTTTTCCAACAAAAGTCATCCTTGCTTTGGTTTTTTGGGTCTTGAGGATGAAAAATGCCACTTTTTTTGAGACAGCTTCACAAAGAACTAACTGGGAGATTATAAATCTTAGGAACACCTAAGGAAGTTGGATGTGGATGTGTTGATCCCAATAGGAAGATGAAATATGTCTGAATTTGCCTGGTCATTACCTGGGAGAATGGCAGGTGGAGGAAAACTGCAAATTCTCTGCCTCTCTTTGCCCTGTTCCTCGAGATCTTTAAAGCTTCACTTTGGTTACCCAGGGGCCTCCATCACAAAATGATCCTCTCCTGCTCTCTTAATTCACCTTTCAGATCTCTGAAATGGCACAGATAGGAAATAAAAGGCCAGGCAGCATCAGTGTTCTGGCAAATGTTGAAATAATACATCCAGATAGTGCAATATTTACTGAGCTGCACGTGGCTGTAATCAGCAAATTAGAAGTAAAGAATATGAATGTGACATTGACATGGCCATGCTGATGTTGCCATGGAAGCTGTGGGGTTTTTCTGATGTTTTAAATACCATTAGCCCTTTTCATGGTCACAAGGTTTCTTTTCATTTAAATGAGCATCACCATGAAATTTAATCATGTTTATGAAGTTATATAAGGCCAGGTGCAGCACTGAGCTCCACTGGGCTTTGACCAGTGCATTTTTCTGTTTCTAAAAATATTTGTTCTCCTAAATTGAAAGGCCCAAATAGACAGATCTGATCTGGCCCCACAGGAAGGACAGCAAACGTGATTAAACTGATGGAGGAGAGGAGTGGGAACGGATGGGGAACAACTCGTGCTTCTCATCCAGGCTCTGGTTGAATCATCTCAGATGCTGCCTAAAATCAGAGTTGTTTTTCTGCCTTTCCCATCTGATCTGCCACTTCAGATGTGACATTTCTCTGTGTGTGTGTGTGTGTGTGTGTGAGGGCACCCAGGCTCTCAGCAGGGCTGTGGTCAGCTCTGCCCTGCAGTTCCTGCTGCACTTCCTCTCACTGTCCATCTGTCCATCCTCCTCAGGGCTGCTGCTGTTTGCTTTCACTGCTCTCTCAAAAGTCAAAAATTGATGAGGAAACTCTTTGCTTTTCCTGTACCCCTAAAGATTTCACCTGTGGTTTGCCTGGGAGCTGTACCCAGCCATTCTGGAGGTTCATCCCTGCTTCTTGCTGGATCCCACTGGGAAACCTGAATTCCTTATTTCTCAGGGTGTCATTGCCTTTCCTCATGGGGTAGATCTGTCTCTTGGTTCTGTTTTACACACCAGTCTGTCTCTTGGTTCTGTTTTACACACCAAGCAACAAGTCCTGCAGAACACCTCTGGTGGTCACAGCTCTGTGCTGCAGCAAAACCTCGTCGTGGTGCTCCTGCTGAACTGATGTGATGTTTTATTCTCTCTCTGCCAGATCCTCATTTACAACCTGGAAACAAACCAGTGTGTGACCAAGGTGGGCAACTCCATAGGTGACTTCTCATGTGTCAACCTCCACAGCAGCCCCCCCAGCATGCTGGTGGCAGGCAACAGGGACAGAAGGTAGGTGCTCCCCAGAGCCCATCTCCAACCTCCCCTCTCCACCTTCCTGTCCTACATCTGGCCCTGCTGGAACTGGTTCTCCTCTCGTGTTTCCATCAAGTTGAGGAACAAGCTATTAGGTAATAGTTGGATGTGGCTGTCAGTGTGCTTTGTCTCCATGGGAAGAGGAGCTTTCGGAGCCATTTGGTGGACGCAGTTGGTGCACAGCCCAGCGAGACCACTTGGAATATCTTCCACTTCCCCGCCGCCACCCGCAAAATGAGTTTGGCATTTAAAAGCTCACTTTCTGATATTAAAAAAATAACCTAAGGGATGAATCATGGAGGATGAGATGGGCCCGGCTGCCAAATGATGTCAAGAGTGTATTTCGGAACACTGTGATGTCCCTCAGGTGACAGAGGGAAAAAGAGACTTTCATATGAACAGATTCCAGCTTCTATTTAGCTGATTAGCAGCTTTCTCTTTAACTCCTTGGCTTGGGGAGTAGGATTTTCCCAGCTCAACGCCTGCTGCCAGGAATGGCCGCGCTGGGAACAGGCAGTGCGAAAGGATTAAAATGCTTAAAAAGACCCTTTGAGTCCAATTTTTAGATTTCCTTTATTTGGCGAGTCGTTTGTGGGGTCTGATCCAGTGCACCAAAGGAGATGTGGGATGGCCAGGAGCCAGTCTCTAATGGCTCCTGCTTCCTTCCCTCCTCCTTTCCACACTGGGCACCAGGCTGCAGGTGGTGCTGCTCTGCTCTGGTGCTGGGATCAGATTGGAAGGCGGGCACTTCCCTCTGCCAAATCCCAGACCTCTGTCCCGCCAGTGCAGCAGCTTGCAAAAATGATTATTTTGTCAAACAGCTTTTTTTTTCTATTTTTTTTTTTTCCTTCCTGGAAAATAGGGAGTGCGAGCAAGCCTCACACTTTCTCAGCAAGGAGGATAAAGGAAATATCTGAAGTTTGACAAGTGGAATTGAATCCCTGGGAGGTTTTTTTTCCTCTGGAAGCAGATAATTGATTTTCCAAAGCACCCCAGTAAAGCTGCCTCCAGTTTTGATCTCCTGCACGATGACAGGAGAGGAGCTGGAGTTGATATCCCTCCCCTTTTATGGCAGAGTAGATGTCTGTGCCCTTCCCCTCCAGAAAGCTTTAGGGGTTTTCAGCTTTAGCACTGACTGAGTTCAAGGGGTTGGATGCCACTAGAGCAGCAAGGAGTTAAGGATTAATAGCTGGGGAGATAAGTTTGGCATCCAGGAGGCAGGAGCAGAGTAGCTCAGAGGTCAGATCCTCCTGTGATGCTGCAGGAAGGTGCTGGGCATCCACAGGTGGAACGAGACTGGAATCCCCATGGCCATATTATGGAGTGAGTTTATTAAACAGGGACCTTGCCATGGGAGCTCAGGCTGCTGCTGGCCAGAGGGAGCAGTTACTGCTTGAATTAAATACAGCAATTTCCCAGTTCCACTTGAATCTGCCCTTCTTTTACTCAAAACTATGATTTTGAAAAGTAACACTTGTGAATTGGTCTTGGTAGGACCTGTAAAATCTGTCTTCCCATCTGAAATTCCTGCTGAAGCGCTGCTGATTGATTTGATTCCTGAGCTGTGCTTTGCTCTGGCAAGAGGCCTCCTAGCAGGGAGCGTGTGCTGATCCTGCTTTTCCTTGGTGGGGAGGAGTGTTGGGAAAGCAAACATATGGCAGACCCAGAAAGGTGTGGATCCAAACGTGCTCCGTGCTCTCCTGAAGGCCAGGCAGCTCACTCCCAGTCTGACAGGAGGGTCCAAGCCTGGAACCTCCCTGGAGCTGGGATGAGCCCCAAGTGCTCCCACTGAGCCCAGCTGTCCAGGCAGGACATGCTGGGCCAGGTCTGTGTTGCAGCATCACAGGAGATTGGCAAAAGGCTGCTCCTTTTTTTCCTGAAGGCACATCTGAGCAGGCAGGGGTGTTGAGCAGGGACCCCTGCCTGAGAGCTGGGTGCTTCCCCATGGGATGATACCACAACTCTCAGCTTCCAGCTGTGCTTTCCAAACAGGAGCAGCTTTGCATGGAAAATGGGGAGAGCTCCAGGAGTGAGCCCTTCCAAGCAGCCCATCCTCTCCCCAAGGCACAGCCCCAGGCTGCAGCCAGAGCTCCTCTCTGCTGGGGCTGGGGCAAGCAGAAATGCTTGTCCTGTGGGATGGGCTGCGTGTTTGCCTCCTTGTCACACGGGAGCTGCTCTGCTGGAGCTCTGGGCTGCCCTGCTGCCTTGTCTCCCAGTCCCTGAAATGTGTGATTTGTGAAATCATATGATGCAATCTCCACTGGAGAAGGGAAGGACTTGCAGCACCATTAGGATCGTAGCAGGGGTGTGGAATGAAGTACAGTTAATGTGTTGGAACAAGTGTGTTTTGGCTTTTTCAGGAATTAATGTGTACCTGATGGGTTTGTTCCTGATAGCCATCAGCTGGGAGGAACTTGCTCTGGCTTCTCAAACCTGAGATCAGTGTTTCCCTTTTCCTTCTCTTTTCACTTGCTGAATTTTTTATTTATTTGTGTACTTTGCTTTATCTCTAAATCTGGATAAATAAGGATCAAACCCCACACTCCTTTGTGATTCGAGCTGGGTTTAAAACTTAACACCATTAGCTCTAACTGGTACTGTGACCTTGTAGCAGTGCTCAGAATCCTAAGGTCTTTTTCTGTTGTTCTGGCTGAGTCTTCAATTTATTTCTCTTCAAATTGCTTTGTCTGGGTGGTCAGTAATGTCCAAGAATCAGATGTACCTAAAAACTGCATTTTTGAAGTCAAAGCAGATCCTGGTTGCAGGGTGCTTGCTTTGAATATTGGTAATTAAGTCAAGGGTATGAACCTGTAATTCCCTGTCTTTTTTGAATTGCTGCACATTTAATCTCCTCTGAAATCTTTGCAATAATAATCCTTTCCTTGATCCTGGTAATATCACCCCTTGTCCATGTGGATGTGGATATGTACCAGGGGGTGGGATGTGTTAACAGCGTGCCCAAAACAGGTGTTTTATGCCTCATGGCATTGCTGATGATTTGGGAGAGGAGGTTTCTCCAAATTTCAGTTGTATTTTATATCATGGACTCATAGCATCATGGAATGGTTTGGGAGGGACCTTAAAGCCCATCCCATTCCACCCCTGCCATGGCAGGGACACCTCCCACTGTCCCAGGCTGCTCCAAGCCCCAATGTCCACCCTGGCCTTGGACACTGCCAGGGATCCAGGGGCAGCCCCAGCTGCTCTGGGCACCCTGTGCCAGGGCCTGCCCACCCTGCCAGGGAACAATTCCTGCCCAATATCTCATCCATCCCTGCCCTCTGGCAGTGGGAGCCATTCCCTGTGTCCTGTCCCTCCATCCCTTGTCCCCAGTCTCCGTGGCCTCCTCTGGACTGGCTCCAGCAGCTCCAGGTCCCTCCTGTGCAGGGCCCCAGAGCCCTGTTTAGATCCTAGAACCTGTAAAGACTCAGATGCTGTATGGGGGGAGAAATCTGCCTGAAAAAGATCTTTGCTAGCAAAAATCAGAGTGAAAATCCACTGGCGAGGCGGATGGGCCTCACTGATTCTCCAGCCATGTCCCAGATGTGTTTCCACAAGCCCAGAGTCCTCAGGCTGTCAGGAGGCACAGGCAGAGGTGTTTTCCCCTGTTTTTCCCCTCAGGGTGCGGGTGTTTGACCTGCGGCGCAGCGAGGCCGTGTGCTCCGTGTACGGGCACCAGCTGGGAGTGTCGGCGGTGCAGATGGACGAGTGGAAGGTGGTCAGCGGAGGGGAGGAGGGCCTGGTGTGCGTCTGGGACCAGCGCATGGCCACCAAACTCTGGGAGATGCACGCCAGGTAACCCCGGGCCCTGGGGGTGTCAGGGCTGCAAGGAGGGTGTGGGAGTGAGAGGGCTTTTGGGGAGTTTCTGTGGTTTGGGGACACAAACTTGGGTTTTCCTCCCCAGCTGGAGCTCTGTGTGTTTCTCAGGGGGCCCTTCAGCTGTCATGGCCTCTTTGCTCCTTAGCTGAGTGTTTCAGTCGGTGTTGGGGAGCAGGGAAAGTTGTTCCCCCTGGATTTTCCATGAAGTTCAGTCAGTGATTTCTCCCTGCTCCATTCCCAACCTCTTTATTTGTGGAATCTTGGGTTCAAAGTGCTGGACTGGCTGTTTGGAGAGTGACTGGTTCTGGCTGTCTCCATCCGGTGTATCCATCACAATCCCTGTGTTTCCCTTCATGGTGAGGATCAAAGCATTTAAACCCATTTAAATACTGAAATATCAGTTTGTACTGAGCACAAGGAGCACAGTACTGAAAGTCCGAGCAGAGACTGGCATCCTGGAGCTGACCCTTTGTACAGCTAAATGAAGATTTCCTGATCAAAGCACAGGATAAAGACTCGAGAATTTAGCCCCTTGTAAGTCTGAGTGATACCCATAAAATGAACAGATAAATCCTGATTTCTTTTTTTTTTTCATTATTATTGTTTTTAATGCATCTTCCCCAAAGAGGAGCTAGATGAGGTATTTACAGCCAGGGAAGTTCAAGCTGGAGTTGTCATTGATTAATAGCAGGTATCACTTTCTGTGTTGACCCTGGGAGTGATAAAGCCTGTTGTGATGTGGCTGATGCATTAAGGACAATATTCCATTGATTGTCTCCTTGGCATGCTCATTAGTGCTGCTGCAGGAGGAGGGCAGGCAGGGCAGGGCAGAGCTCGGGGATGCACTCCAAGTGAAACCATTAGATTAAACATGTAGAGAACAGTGTTTAATCTATAGAGTAATCAGAAGGGATCACTTCAATCAAAAGGCTTTCCTAGATACAGTGTGTGCTGTTATCCCTGCCTTTGGCCCCGTGCCAGCAGTGGAGAGCAGGAGCAGGAGCTGAGGGAGGTGGCAGGAGACACGTGTGGGGTGTGGGGATGAGCCATCCTCATCTGAGGAGGGAAGTGACTCCTGCTGGAACAGACACTGCTTTTTCCTGGGGTTTGGGAGCAGCTGTTCACCAGAGGGAAAGGAATGAACACCTGACTTGAGCGTCCAAAGGAGGGACACGAGTGTGGGGAAGGACCTGGAGGGGCTGAGGGCACTTGGAATGTTCAGCTGGAGCAGAGGGGACTGAGGGGAGACTCCTCAGGGGCTGCAGCTCCTCCCCAGGGGCAGCTCTGATCTTAGCCCTGGGACAGGGCCAGCAGCCAGGGAAGGGCTGGAGCTGGGCCAGGGCAGGCTCAGGCTGCAGATCAGGGCAAGGTTCTTCCCCCAGAGGTGCTGGCACTGCCCAAGCTCCCCAGGGAATGGGCACAGCCCCGAGGCTGCCAGAGCTCCAGGAGCGTTTGGACAGCGCTGCCAGGGATGCCCAGGGTGGGATGCTGGGGGGTCTGGGCAGGGCCTGGGGCTGGATCAGTGATCCCTGAGGGTCCCTTCCCATTCCATGGTTCTCAGCTTAGCGAGCATTTCTAAACCAGCTGGGTGTGTGGGGTGTCCTTCCCCTTCGTTTGGGGAGTGCTGCAGTCCTTAGGGNCAGCCCAGCCCAGCCCGGCCCAGCCCAGCCCAGCTCACATCCATCCCTCCCAGCTCTGCCGGCTCCAGCAGTGTTTCCTGGGCTCCCCGTGTGTTCTGGGAAGAGCCCGCTAGATGGGGATAGAAGATGCGGGATGTGCTCCAGGCTGGCAGAGCCACAGGTGCAGGTTCCCAGCCTCTGGCCCGGGGAGGGCGCTGATTTCGATCCCTCCGTGTTTGATCCAAAGCCATTCCTTCCCCAGCACCCGGATTTTGGGGAGCCCAGTGCAGGTGGGCCCTCACCCCGTGCTCTGGGCTGTTTTGCAGACATCCAGTCCGCCACGTGTGGTTCAATTCCCACAGCCTGATCACTGCCAACATCCCCGAGGAGAAGAACCCCCGAGGCTCCAGCATCAGCGAGGACGACCCCAGCTTGCACCGAAAGTGAGAAACCAGCCCTCAGCAATCTGTTTCGTTTTTAAATAGCACCCTGAGCACCTGAGTCATCACCCAGAGCACTTACAGAGAGGGTATAGCAGCAAAAAAAAATAAAATTTTAAAAAAAATAAGGGTAAGGTTTATAAAGCAAGCGATGAATTGGCTTGAGTGCAAAAAAAAAAGCTTTTTTTTTTCTCTCAGCAGGGGAACATAAAGTCCACTGAAGCCAGGCAGGGAATGCAACCCTCTCCATGCTCGAAATATTAGTAATGCTGTCTCCTCCTAAAGGAAAACTACTGGCATTTAAGCTGCAGGTTTTGGTATTTGCATCTCAAATGGCTGTTAGTGCTAATTGAACTATCAAATACCAATGTATTTATCTTCCCCCGTGCTGGAGAGCCTGGAGACGTTGCAGCAGATGACAGTCACGTCTCTGCAGGGCTGGAGGGAATGATTCACCAGCCCTTCCCGGCTTGCTGGGTCCCTGGGAGGAGGCAGGAGGGAGCTTTCCCTGTTCAAAGTGCTCAGCCTCCCGCAGAAGGGATGGGGGTTTTTATCCAGCTCCCGCAGCATCGCTTTCTTCAGTTCAGATGATTTTTGTAGTGATTTCTACCTCTCTTTGCTTTCCCACTGGGGTGAAGTGGTGTGTCCTGGTTGTTTTGCACACAGGTACCGAGGGGTGATTTATTCCTACGAGTTCTCTGTGGACCAGCTGGCTGTGGACAGCGTCCTCCCCATCTGCCGCTCCTCCTACGACGAGGTGACGGGTTACAACTACAACATCGGCCTGGCAGTGCCCTACGACAGCATCTAGGGCACTTCTCGGCTTCTGGGGCCAGCCAGGGCCACAGGCAAAGGAAAATCCATGTGGGACAAGCAGCCAAAAGCTGCAGAAAGCCCTGGGGATGTGAACCCAAACTGGGCGGGGCTGCCCCCCAGCACCCCGCTGGAATGTGTCGCTCTGGACGTGTCCAGAGGTGCAGCCTGCTGGAGTGGAGAGGCTGAGGAGGGACAGGGACAGCTGCAGGGTAAATAAAAATATTCCTGCTGCTTGTGGGAAAGATGCTGCAGGTCCCATCTTGGTCAGGAAGCCAGAGTGGGAGACTGAAGGGGCAGGAGGCTGGGAGCTCTCTGAGGAGTTCTTCCCTACCCCAAGAGGGAAAAAAATCACCAAGGACTTGGAAAAATCATGTGCTGAGCCACGTGTTTGAAATGTCTGTCCTGGTATTGAGCTGCTCCTTCTTGTTTTCCTTGGAGTGCACTGGAATGTGGCTGGGAACAGGACAACAGGACCATGCACAAAAGGTTATGGTGGCTGGGAGAGGGAGGGGAAGGTTCCCTAGGCCAGGCTGGATGCTTGGGAACTCAGCAGGCCACACACACATCACAATTATTTTAGATCAAATTATTTTTTTAATTATTTTAAATCCTGGATTAAATGTTTTCTAATTGTACATGTACATCTGTCTGTGGAATTCTGTTCCTGAGCCTGTTAGGGTGAGCTGACCCCTGTTCACAGGATCCAAGGGCTGGCTCAGGTTGTCAGGTGTGTTCTTGGCTGGATCATGTCCTTCCACAGCACCTGCAGGGTTTTCAGTGCTGCTCTTGCTTCCAAGCTGGGAATTGATGATGGAGCAGAAGGGGTGACGTGGCCACAGTGGGCATTGAGCCCCAAAGCTGTGGGGAGGCACCAGGTGAAGGGCAGGAGGTGCTGTTCAGCTGGGAAGGAGGAGTGAGGCTTTACCTGAAGCCCTGACAGGTAGAAGCAGTTTGGGGAACAAGAGCTCCAGTCCTGCATGGATCTTCTTACTGATTTAAAATTATTTTATTGTGATTTGCCCATGTAAACTTACTGGTGCAAACCAAAGCTGTGTCAGTTCTGTTTCAAGTGAGGTTAAGTTTTAACCTACACCTTTTTTCCTGGGTGAATGGAATCAGTGTGAAGTCCTGGGGAGAGCTGCAGGAATGTGCCCAAACCTGCAGGAGAGGGGCTGGGCTGGCACTGCAGCCCTGTGCGCTCACTGAGCCCTGCCCAGAGCTGCATTTCACTGCTTTTCCTCCTTTGCCTTGGGGGGGAGGTTTCCCATCACCCATACACCAAAATTTCACGGTTTAGGTTTTTAATTACCTTTTTTTCCATGTGATGGATACACAAAAAGTGCAAAGGGCAAAAAGGCATTCTGTCTGACCAATAAACCTGATCTTTCATAAAGCTTTGGTCTTTTATTTCTCTGCCCTTCTGGGAAGCCAGCTCCCTCCCTCCATTCCTGGGAGAGCAGGAAGTGTCATGGATGCAGGGTTTGGACAAGAGTTCAGCTGAAACCTGACAAATAAATCATGGTTTCTGTGGCAGAAATGACTTCGGGGGGTTGCTCCAACCCTGTGACTTGTGCGATGCTCTGAGCAGGGAGCGCTCCCGTGTCATTGTTCTCCCTTCTCCTTCTCTCGCCTCATTATCTGGGAACAGCTTTGTTCCTCCTGCCTCTCCTGCTGCAGGGAGCAGAGTTTGTGGTGCCCACGCCCGTCCTTTTCCCGAGTCCTCCCCCGCGTTCCTGCTTCCCCTCTGAGCCGAGGCTGATGCTGGGGAGGGTTTGCAGCACCTGCATGAGCCGGGGTTCTGCTCTCACCTGGCTCACAGCCACAGCTCCTCTGCAGCCTGCTCCTTTGGGTCTTCTGCTAATTAATGGGGTTAATTGAGCGAGGTCGCAGCACGGCAGAGGGTTGTGTGTGTGCTGAGCTCGCACTCCTCATGTGCATGAGGGCACTGGGGCTGTGTCCACATCGGGACTTTGGGATGTTCTGCTTCCCTGGCTGCTCCTCAGTGCTGGAGTGGAGCAAACACCAGCGAGGCTGCCGAGCTTTGGGCTCAGGGGGTGATGAAATGGAGCCTCCTCCTTCATTTCGGGAGCAGGAACAGCATCCCCATCCCAGCTGTGCCGGGAGAGGCTCCGTGCAGCTCCCCAGGGCTGGGCACTGGGAGGGGGCAAATCCCCCTTGGCTGGGCTCAGGAGTGCAGGAGCTGCAGTCAGGACATGCTGGAGCAGCGTGGCCTGAGCTGGTGGGGTCAGGCTGGAGGCCACGCTCACCCTGGTGCCACTTGCCCAGGGCCCAGGGCCAGCCCAGGGGCAGCACAGCAGGAAAGGGTTCGGCACAAAAAGCCTTGAGAGTTCCAGTGTCCCGTGGGACCCTCAGCTGAAAACAGGGGCTGTGTCCTGGTGAGAGGGACCCCTGATCCAAAGGGAATGTGGGATCCCTGCTCCAAAGGGAATATGAGATCCCTGCTCCAAAGGGAGTGTGGGACCCCTGCTCCAAAGGGAATGTGGGATCCCTGCTCCAAAGGGAATGTGGGATCCCTGCTCCAAAGGGAATGTGGGACCCCTGCTCCAAAGGGAATGTGGGATCAGCACAGACTGTGTGAGTGTCACAGCTCTGGGGTGCTGGGCACAGCCATCCTGGAGGGCCGGATGAGGCTGCAGAGCCCTGCTGGAGAATCCCCGCTGCCCCCCTCTGCTCCAGGGCCAAGCCTCCAGAAGAAATTGCTTTTTGCCTCTGATTTGTGTCCTCAGTCACCCTCTCTGTGAGGGAAGAGCCGCCCCAGGGTGTCAGGGGCTGCCATCCCTCTCCTGGTCTGAGGAGTGAGTGGTGGGAGGAAGAGCAGGGGGTGCTTTCTGTACAGAGAGGTGCTCTGGGGGTCTCTGAACCCCCTTTCTGTCCCACCTTTCCCACCCAGCTCTGCTCTCCTGCCCTGCCACCTGTCACTCTGTCACTCAGAGGGGTGAGTGTAGGCGCACTGGAGTGGTGCAGGAACTTGTTCATGTCCTCTCTGGCCCCTCTCCTCCTCCAGTGACCTTTGTCTGCTCATTTCCACCTTCTGTGGAAGGCCCTGGAACTCCAGGTACGTGGAGCTGGTGTCCCCCAGGCCCTGCAGCCGGAGGGGAGGGTGGGGCAGCAGGGGCTGGAGGGCCTGTAAGGAGATGAAGTACTGCTGGATCATGCAGTAGAAACCTGGAGGAAAGGGCCTGCTCCAGGTCAGGATTTGTGCCACTGGCAGATTTTTATCCAGAAATGTGAATCTCCAGCCTCTGGACCAAATTCCTCTTCATGGAAGAGCTGCAGCTGGGAGTTTCCTCTGCCTCAGACAATGCCACTCAAAGGAACGAGGAACTCCTCAAAACTTAGCTTAGAAATATCAGCTGCAGGTGGCTGCCCTGGCTGTGGGGTCTGTGCTGCCTCCTGCTCCCCTTCCCTCCCTTCCTGGGCAGGTGTCCCTTGTTTGGTCTCTCCTGCCATTCCCAAGCTCCAGAGTGGCTGATGGATGAGGGGGAATGGTGGGGAGAGGGATCAAACAGTGTCCCCTCTGTGCCAACACCACCTGCCCGGGGTCCCTGCAGTGCTGGGGTCACTCAGTGCCTCTCCAATCCTGGGGTCACTCAGTGCCTCTCTCCAGCCCTGGGGTCACTCAGTCCCTCTCCAATCCTGGGGTCACTCAGTGCCTCTCTCCAGCCCTGGGGTCACTCAGTGCCTCTCCAATCCTGGGGTCACTCAGTCCCTCTCTCCAGCCCTCGGGTCACTCAGTCCCTCTCTCCAATCCTGGGGTCACTCAGTCCCTCTCCAGCCCTGGGGTCACTCAGGAGCTATGGGGACATCTACATAACACTTATATAACCCTAGCCCTAACCCTCTCCCCAGCCCTGGGGTCACTCAGTCCCTCTCCAGTCCCAGGAGCTCTCTCTGGTGCTGCTCAGCCTTTTCCAGCCTCCCTGGAGTTTTCCAATATGTGCTAAATGGTTCCATTTTCCAGCCACCCTCTGCTGAGCAGTGCTGGGATCTGCCACAGAGCTTTGTCCCAGGGCTGTGTCCTGGCCCCACAACAGAGCCATTATCCAGAGCCATTATCCCTGCTGGAACACTCTGGGCTTTGCAGGATTTCGCTGTGGTGGAAGTGTTGCCCTTGCCAGGTTTCCCGGGGCTCTCCCAGATTTTCCTGTGATTTTCAGGATTATTATCCTGGTTTTGCTGGGGTTTGCTGTGTGTATCACCAACACCATTGTGCTGGAGTGATGCTCCTACCCATCCCTGGGGCTCTGCACCTCTGTCCCTTTGCTGGGAGGAGGATCAGGCTCAAACCCTCCCTCCTGCTCTCCACTCATCCCATTTCCCATGGAGAATTCCCAGCAGGAGCAAAATGAAAACGCTGCAGCCAGTTTGTGGTGAGTCCTGCCTCAGTTTCCCAAGCTCCCACACTTTGACTGCCACTTAGGGGGCAGCTAATTAACTCAGGGGATAATAACTGAGCTCTCATCCATCCTCTCCACTCCTCCTGGCCTCCACTTCCCTGCCCCAGCCCGTGCTGGTGTGGATCCTCCAGGATGATTCCTCCAGGAGGTTGGGGTGTGGAGGGGGACCCTGATCTCGTGTTAACCCCTGCAGCTCCAGCTGAGGGTTTGGGGGCAGAAAAGGACCCTGCAGGCACCTGGGGCTGTGGTTGGAGCATGGGCTGGGGAGTGGGATGGTCCTGCAGCCTCTGTAAGGAAGCAGAGCTGGGATCTCCATCCCCAGCTCCACTCCCAAACCCTGGCTGTCCCCACCCGGCCCAGCCCCAGCTCCCAAACCCCAAACCAGCCCCAGAGGCACGGGCAGCTCTGTCCCCACAGCTCTGGTCCATTCCCAGCTCTGTCCCCACAGCTCCAGGCCATTCCCAGCTCTGTCCCCACAGCTCCAGGCCATTCCCAGCAGTGTCCCCACAGCTCCAGGCCATTCCCAGCTCTGTCCCCACAGCTCCAGACCATTCCCAGCTCTGTCCCCACAGCTCCAGACCATTCCCAGCTCTGTCCCCACAGCTCCAGGCCATTCCCAGCAGTGTCCCCACAGCTCCAGGCCATTCCCAGCTGTGTCCCCACAGCTCCAGGCCATTCCCAGCTCAGAGATGGGATGGTTCCATCCCGTGGGTCCCTGAGGCTGGGATTGCAGGGCAGGGCTCTCCTCCCCTCCTTCCCCGGCTCCGGGAGCCGCTCCAGGCCGAGCTCCAGCGGCTCTGAACGGACACGGGGACTTTGGAGGGGACGGAGCCCTGAATGAGCCCTCGCTGGGGGGACCCTGAGCAGAACCCCCCAATAACGTGGAAAAGAAGGAGAAAATGTTCCCGAGCCAGGGATGCTCTGGGAAGGGGGGCACAGCAGGGCCGGGGGCTCCGCACCCCCCCAGCCCCTCACCTGCCGGCTCTGCCTCCCACCGCCTGCCCCTGACACCAGGGAAAGCCATTTTTGATAAATAAACCTTCCCTGCTTTTCTAAAAATAGCCATTGCCCTTTTTCCTCTCCCTCCCTCCCTCCTTCCCCAGCTCAGGCTGCCTTAGAGA